GCGGGAGGTCGGCCCTGAATGAAAAGACATGCCTTCCCGTATGATTTCCGTATCTTCATGGCCTTCTGGATGCCCTTGGCTAGACTAAGTGAGGGGAGTTTTATTGGCCCTAATAGTTGTCAACCTAAGGACCGCTTCCACAATCACCTTAGTGCCCAAGTCTAAGGTCCAAGTTTTCTTTTTCTCTCTTATTCTTCTAGCCAGACCCACAGCTCAGGTTCTCACACGTTTCACTGCCGGCAGTAGACACTCTAGAATCATTTCTGTCCCCACTGACTGAGAGCATAGTTTTGTCATTTGGTTTTCATTCCCTGAGCCCATCTCTAACACAAAAGCTCAAACTGGAAATTTCCAGCATAGCAATTGTCCATTAAAGCCACCAACAGATGTTAAGATTCCCCTCACACTCCACCCCCGTACACATGGAAAAAAATGATCCATTCAGGGGAGGTGGCAGAATGATTCTTTTAAATGAATGAACCATCTTTCAAATGTTTCTTTCAAAAAATGTATTGTTCTTATTATATATATATATGGGTGTATATATATATAAAATCTGTGTATGTGCTAAGTCATTTCCGTCATGTCCAACCCTTTGCAATCCCATGCACTGTAGCCCCCCAGGCTCCTCTGTCCATGGGGTTTCCCAGGCAAGAATACTGGAATGGGTTGTCCTTTCCTTCTCCAAGGGATCTTCCCCACCCAGGGATCAAACCCAACTCTTTTAAGTCTCCTGTGCTAGCAGGCAGGTTCTTTACTGCCACCTAAGAAACCCTCATGATATCACTCTAAGACAAGTTCCTAAGAAGGATTTTTCCCCTTGTTTTTCAAGTCTTTTATAATAATTTTCAAAAGAGTGCATCCAACAACCCATTTTTTTTTCTAACTGATATTTTCACTGCTTACTCTAAAACTTAGAAATGTGGAGTTTCACTGGTGGAACTTTCTACATAAATTATTAATCCAATTTAGTTTAAATTTTCATAAGTTATTAAAGGAGATTGCATGTGAATAGCCAATTTTCAGATTTGGTAGGTTCTAATTCGAGACAGCGGTAATATGCAGCCTTTGGGTATTAACTTTCCATAAGTAAAGCATGAAATAATTTCTTTCATCCAAGACAAAATGTGGAAGGCAGATGCTTTTCAAAGGGTTTAATTAATTATCTCAATTTCAGGCCACCCAAGAGTTGAGAGTAGAGTTGGGATTGAATATATAGATACAGCTCAGATGTAATATGATGTCTGGAAGGCCTAACAATTTTCATAATTGAAGACCTTACTGGGTAATTTGGTGTCTGTAGAAGCCATGCGCTTACCTAGGTTAAGAGGCTGAAGTTGTAGGGTGAACTCAGGTTCCTTGAGCCTTTTCTATTTTATTTTCCAGGCTCAATAAGGTAATCTCTTAAAGTTAATTGCCTGTAAAACACTTGCTTTCATTCAATAAAGTGTCAAGTTTGTCATCATGACCCGAGCGATACTTTTGAAGATAAATAAGAATATAAGGGGAAAAAAAAAAAAAAAAACCTCTGTAAAAGGTGGACCCAGGAAGACTAAAAGGACATTAAGCAAAAGCTTCTATAAATATTTACAACCCCTCAAATAGGATTAAAATACTTCAACCTGACATTTCACTGTGCTACGATTTCACACACACAATTACATGGATACTGAATTTATTCGAGGAAAGTAGAACAGCTTAATCATATGTTTGATATTAGAAGAAACACAAATGCCAAGAGCAGAACATGCTAGGTAGTCACTTAATGGTCTTATTTGAAGGTCATAAAACAATCCCACTTTTTATCATAATACTTCAGCCATTGCCTAAGATGTCCACCTCTGGATACCCAATGGATAAATGTCTCCCTTGATTATACTTACTCACACAGCCATGCTCTACTAGAACAACACTATTGAGGAATGTTCTTTAACAAAATCAAGCCAGCAGAACACTGAGCAAACATTTCAGAAAGCCAGTAGGTTATTTTTACATTCATTTTAGCATAAAAGCAAACAAAAACAGAGCAAAATGATTTCTATTTTTGAGCCCCACAATCCAAGAGCTTAGTGAAAGCACTCCAGAGTTGAAGTTGTGGATGAAAGATAAACTTAACACCTTAAATAGCTAAATAAGGGAGCAGGATTTTGAGGAGGCACTGTGGAGGGGTTCAAGTAAATTTTTGTAGATTCTATTTTATGGGTGTGCAGCTGAGGATCAGAGATGGATGGCTGAGACCCTTCTTAAAAGTATCACCTGGACTTTTGCAACTTCTGGAGCTATCATATGCTGTCAATTGCCATTGAAATAGGACAGAGCTTGGAGGGTGATGGTGAGAGTTGGCAAAAGATGAGAAAAAGGAAGACAGAAGATGGAAGAAACTCTGTCTCGTTGGAGATGGTCACGGACTTATGGAGTAGCTGACTTCTCTCTTATTATTAATTTGATACAAGCCTGGCTCATACAAATGTGCTCAGCAGACCAGTAGCATCGTTCTCACCTGGGAGATTGTTAAACAGACTTGCAGAAGCTAAGACCTGACCTCTAACCTACAGAGTCAGTATTCACATTTCAACAAAGTTCCAGGTATTTCACATAGCCATGGATTTCAGAAGAGCATTCCTGTTTGGCTTCTAGATATAAATACTCAAAGGATGTATTGATATGTAATGTTGAAACTAATAAAATGACTGTTCTTTTAAATAAATAAAATTTCGTTCTTGTTATCTGAGACTAGACAATAATAATATTTTGTTTTGCTGAATTTGAGTCTAAAAGAGTTTCTGTTCACGGGTTGTACACTGACTATGCATCTGTTTACCCATAATTGGAAGAAAACAGAAACTGTACTTTGTCTTTCATTAGCTAAGCCATTGGAAATTGGGAGATTAAGTCAACAGGTCAGTCTATTTTTCTCTCCTTTTCTACTTCATCATAACACAGTCACAGGAAAACTGAAACATCATAATAGTGAGTTTCTTTACTTTGTTCTACATGAATCATATGTGTATTTGGGAAATCCTTTATGTCTGAATGTTTAACTTTTACATACTTGTAGGAAATATGGTCCTCATACTCAAGAGAGAATAATAAACCAAGAAAAGTCAAAAACATTTCAGTCACTAAAAGCTAAAAATCTAAGCTAATGAGAAAGTTTGTCTATTGCATAGTTCAAAAAATGAAAAAAGAGACACCCTTTTTAGTATATTTGGCCCAACTGCTTAAAAGCTGACCACACAGCCCATCATGCGCTCATTGTAAATTCAGAATTCTGCAGACACTTCCTGTTCAGACAGCTTTCATTTTTCATCTGATCCCAATTTTCCCACCCAAGATTCAGACCACCCATTACAAACAAACAAAATTAATACCAAGAGCTAATTTTAAAATGAAAACAGTTTGTATATAAATGTGTGAAGCACAGAATTGTCTGTGTACCCTCTCCTTTAGGATACAAGTTTAAGGCCAAGTTAGAAGTCTTAACAGCATCCAGTAATTTGTCTGCATATCTGAGATACAGAAATGTTCACATTTTCACAGTCATTATGGTTGTAAGTGCTGGCGAGCAAAGACATTGTGCTGTCTCCACATTACATTACACAAACCATACCTGAATTTTCATTGGAAGGACTGATGCTGAGGCAATAATCCTTTGGCCACCTGATGTGAAGAGCCGACTCATTGGAAGAGACCCTGATGCTGGGAAAGATTGAGGGCAGGAGGAGAAGGGGGTAACAGGGAATAAGATGGTTGGATGGCATCACTGCCTCAATGGACATGAGTTTGAGCAAAACCCGAGAGACAGTGAAAGACAGGGAAGCCTGGCATGCTTCAGTCCATGGGGTCATAAAGAGTCAGGCATGACTGAGCGACTGAGCAGCAATAATGACAAATCTCAAAATTTTCTAGATCTCAGTTTCTCTATATGCAGTAAAGTGAATAACAATACTTGTATTGCCTTCCTCATTGTGTTATTGTTAAGTATCAAATATAACAGTGGATATGAAAGATATTTGAGATGTATCAGGTAGTAGAAGAGGTTGTTATCAGTGAGTGTGTTTTCTTAAAGACATTTTAGGATGGCATGTATTCTGGGCTTATTTAATAATAATGCAATTTAGAAGATTAAATTCTACCATCTATAACTTTCATTCCTTCATAGACTTTTCTTCAGTAAGTTGAAATAGAAATTGAAATTTTTAATGTACAAAGAAATATCTTTAAGTGACAAAAATATAGATATACTATTTTTTTTACTTTACTTGATTGGCTTTGAACAATTATAAAAGCACATGCATACAACTTTGAAAGAATGAGAGAACATATAATTCACAAACTCATTGATTTGTCTTTATTTTATTTTTATCACTGTCATATTTGGGCATTTTATTCAATTTTGTTTTCTCAACTAATTCCTGTGTAAATGAATGTACTTAATGGTTATCTTACACTATACTTAGAACACTGGGGCTCAAACTTGGAACTATAATAACTGCTAATTTCAGACACATTAGAATCTTAGATAGTTCACTGAACATTTAATAGCAATATATTTTAGTTAATCTGTACAGTGACTTTAGCTTTTGCTACACAAGAGTTTCTCTTTTGTTTTCACTATGGAACGACTTTAATAATTTTTTTATCGATAAATTTTAGGTGATTCCGCTCAAATAACCTATTTTTATAGTTTATTATATTTATAATTATTTATGCATTCATTCATTCAGCAAATATATGAGCACCTGTTTTATGCAATACAATGTTCTAAGCACTGGGAGAAAAGTATGAGTCTACGTTCTGGTGGGAGGAGACATATCATAGAAGAGTGTAGTAAAGTGAGATATGTTCTGAAAGTATTGCATTCAATAAACAGAAAGCGAAACCAGACATAAGTCAATAGATAAGTGTCTGTCTAGAAGGAAGTGTTCTGTAGGCAGCGGCCTCTAGAAGCACGGATGACATGAAGGAGCCTCCTGTGCAGACGGAGCGGGGCCCCCTAGGCAGAGCGGACAGCTCGCCCCACAGCCTGGGCAGAGCCCGAAAGGCTGGGAAGGCCGAGGCGACGCGTGCCGGGCGAGCAGGTGGATTCCAGGTGAAGTCAACGGGAACAGCGTGAGGGTGCGTCCTGCAGGCCACAGTGAGGAATCGGGAGGTCAGCAGGAGCGTCACGGGACGCAACTGGAGAATTCTAGGCAAGAGAGTGACGCGGTACCTTTGGTTTATTTATATTCTGAGGGCCCGCCGGACCATTGCCTTGTAGTTTGTGGATTGATTCGTTTCGCTTTGGCTGCCCTGGGCCTCCGTGGCCGGGCAGGCTTCCTCGAGGTGCGGCTCACGGCCGTCCCACGGCGGCGGCTCCCGTAGCTGCGGCGCGCGGACTGAGCGGCTCCGCGGCGTGCGGGGTCCTCCCAGACCAGGGGTCTACCCGGTGTCCCCTGCCTCGCGAGACACCCTGCTAACCAGCGGGCCACTGGAGAGACCCGCGCTGTGCCTACGGTTTACACACTAGCAGCTCCGCGGAGCGGCTTGCGGCGGGAACGCGTGCGCACGTAGAGGCAGAGGCCAGACAAAGCAGCTCACAGAGATGGGTGTGAGCGGTCACAGTGGTCAGCTCACAGAAATGGGTGTGAGCGGTCACAGTGGTCAGCTCACAGAGATGGGTGTGAGTGGTCACAGTGGTCGGGGCACCCAGACGGGGACAAGGTGGGCAGAGCGCCCATGGCATCTAAGGGCTCTCCGGAAGATAAGCCCACAATTATCCCGGGCATGCAGGGGAAGGGGAATCCAGAAAATGAGAGAGCCGTGTGACTTGGCCAACCTCATCGTTTCAATGAGTTCTTTAAATGTAGGAAGCCCTCACTTTTACAGCCCCCTGGCAGGGAAGGAAGGATGTAAGAATCCTTCAGACTTCTCAGAACTCCTCTAGACTTTCAAGAGAAACAGATTTAAAGCCAGGGGAAAAGAAACCCAGGCCCTCTGCGTGTGTGAATGGGCTTTCAAGCCTCCCTCAGAAGAAAGGTGTTGAAGCCACTCTGTCTTTATATTCTAGAACTGGGATGTGAGTTCCCTGGAGTGCTTGCCAAACCATTGGACACATGAAGTGCTTTGCTGATGCATCAGTTTTACTCAGAGATTTCAAAGGACTGGGAAACCAAGTTTAATTTATGATTTTAATTTTTAAATGTATGTATTCATTATGTACAATTTATGTATTTAATTTTTAAATTTATTTAAAATTTTATGTGCTTTAACTTTAATGTGTGTTATTTATAGTAGCATTTGTAAACTGTGAGGTAGAATTAAACATGCCCATGCATTTTTTTCTAAATAAAATAGGAGATTAAAAAAAAGCTCCTCCGAGGACTTCAGGCTTTGCCTTAAGGACAGGAGAGACCACCGAAGCATTCCCTTTAAAAGACCGCAAGTTTGGGGACCTCTCTGGTGGTCCAGTGGTTCAGACTTTGCCTTCCAATGCAGGGGGTGCAGGTTTGATCCCTGGTCAGGGAGCTAAGAACCACATGCCTTGCAATGTATAAGCCAAACCATTAAGGAAAAAAAAAAAAAAACCAGAAGCAATATTGTAAAAATATAATAAAGACTTTAAAAATGGTCCATATAAAAAGAAATTGAAAAAAACCTGCAGGTTTGAGCAAAGCTTCTTCCAGCAGTGGAGATGGAGTACGGATGAATCGGGCTAGAGGCAAAATGGGGGTCTGATCTGAAGTATCACAGACATTGAAGCACGGTCGCCGGGAAAGTCATGCAGCAAGGTGGACAGATTCAAGAGGCATCTGTACATGCTGATGAGCTGGATATGAGCCTGGGGAAAGACAAGGGAGATTTAAATAGTGTGCCCAACTTTTCTGTCCTTGGTCCCTGGCAGTTCTGTTTACAGAGATGGGAAGCAATGGAAGTGAGATCAGGAGAGATGGTGAATGTATGGGCTGTGAGGTACTATCCGCTGGAGGTTCAGGGGAAAGGTGTGATAGATCGACAGTCCCCAACTCAGGAGAGAGGTCCGGGCCATAGTTAGAAAGATGGAAATCACATGTGCAGAGTCATCGCCGAAGCCAGGAGGTGAATTCCTGACAAGAGAACAGAGCCTCTGAAAAAGTACAAACACACTATACCCAAGAAGCAGAAGCACGGATCCCCATAGAAAGCCAGAAGACGTGAAAGGGTAGAAAGAAAACCAGGAAGCCATGAGGCCAAGGAAGGAGACTGCTTCCGCAACGGGGGAGTGAGTGACTGCGCAGGTGTTCTGAGAGGGAGAGAAGGTGGGCAGCGTCCTGGACGAGGAGAAAAGGAACTGCGTGGACCAACAGGTATGACACAGCATTCAGGGACGAGCCAATGTGACACCATGCGCTGACAGTCACACCCTTTTCAGACAGTCGAGTTCTCTTTAGCAGCTCTTAGAAGCTCAGCTCAGTCTAGACGAGGGCATCAGCTGGAATAATCCCCAAAAATGGGTTTTGCCTGGTGGACAGAATGGGGTATCAGAAGGGGAACAGGGCAAGAGTGTTGAGGACACTGACCGGGTGCTGTAGAAAGTCAAAGTGTGGCTCTCACAGGGAAGGAGCGTGGGAGAAAAGGGGATGAAACGCGGAGTGGATAACAGATGAGGAGGAAAACGGGGAGCCAGGGAGCCGGAGGGACCAGAGTGGGGGGAGTAGTGATTGGGCTGGCAGGGCTGAAGGTGGTGGTTACAGAGCAGGCGGGCTCATTTCAGTTTCAGACACAAATTGTCCTAACCTCTACGGGATGGAGCAGGGGTGCCTGGCGGGGGCGTGGAGGTGGGTGTCATCAGAACCGAGGAGGTCAGTGAACCGAAGTGGCGGACGGCTCCATATATTGCCCTGTGAACACTCAAGGAAACCGAGGTGGTGCAGGGTGAGGGATGAAGACGAAATCCGAGACCCTGATGCCTGGTCCCCGGAGGATAAGAAGGATGGGAGACGTTGATAGATAGTGGTCAAGAGGAGTTAAGTAAACGTGTCCCAACGCTGGGAACATCAGCTCAGTGGGCGTCAGCCTGGGGAGAGTCTGTGATCCTGGGGAGAGTCTGTGGTCTCAAAAGCATCTCCCACCTCGTTCTCCAGCATCGGCCTCGCTCATTAGGCTCTATTTTAAAATGTTGTTTTTAACACCTCAGCATTATCTTGCTGGATTTGTTTTGGATCGGGTAACTGCTTGGGAATTGATCACTGTAAGACAAAAAACAACATCAACACATATTTATCTCATCTCTACTATGAGAAGCATTATGAGGGATTAGAAAAGCGTGAGATACTGCCAGCCCTTGAAATAAATTAAGTGGAGAAACTTCCTTAGTGAAAGTAGGATCACGTAGGTTCTGTACAATAAGGCAGGCTTAGAACTGAATTCTGGGTGGCAGGAGATGATGACAATGTTGGGGAAACAACGCCACTCAAGGAAAGTTCAAAACTAAGACAAAAATGATCTGATTCTACCTGTGTGTGCATGCTCAGTCACTTTAGCCATGTCCGTCTCTTTGCGACCCCGTGGATTGTAGCCCCCCAGGCTCCTCTGTCCATGAGATTCTCCAAGCAAGAGTGCTGGAGTGGGTTGCCATGCCCTCCTCCAGAGGAATCTTCCCGAACCAGGGATTGAACTCGTGTCTCTCATATCTTCTGCATGGGCAGGCGGGTTCTTTAACACCAGTGCCACCTGGGAAGCCCGTGATTCCCCCGACTCACCTCCGATTAGCCATCCTGCAGTGCTGTGCAGTCCAGATGTTTGAGAGCACGGGTGAGCATGCTAAGTCGTGACTTCCAGCCTCCAAACAGACCCCTCAAGGCCAGGCGGTGTGAATGGAAGTTTCCTTTACTTCGTGTGATCGGACTGCAGCGGGGGACACGTGCAGGAAACTCCACAAGGGCCCTCGATGTCTCCTTGGCTGAAGTGGAACTTTCAACACTATTTGGGAAAGGATCCAGGATTTGTCTTATCCTCCAATTTGATGGGTTTCAAACTCTAGACCAGTTGTAGAACTTGAAGGCCCAGACTGATGTCCTGGGTGAATTTGTTCCTTCAATAAACGTGGAAGCTTCTATTGTTGCAGGACATTTGAGGCCTTTTGAGGGGGCCCTAAGATGAATATGCCTCCTCAGCTGTTCCACTAAAGCTGACTACAGTCATTGAACAGTAATATGTAGGTCTGAACTGAACACACTTGGATGACTACCGTGGATATTCTCCATACATGTGAAATATTCAAACATGCTACACCAGAAAGGGAATTAATAAAATGTGCTCAACACCCTGATGAGAATCTGTGTGGTGTATAAACTGGAGGAGAGCTGGCTTGAATCAGGTGCCACCAGTCACCCACTTTATGAACCAGCATCACCCTCATCTCCTCTTGTCTGGTCCTGAGACGACAGGAGAGCGACCTCACTGGCCTTCCCTGGTGGCTCAGTGGTAAGGAATCCGCCTGCAAGGCAGAAAACCCAGGTTTGACCCCTGGGTCGGGGAGATCCCCCGGAGGAGGCGGGCATGGCAGCCCACTCCAGTATTCTTGCCTGGAGAAGTCCGTGAGCAGAGGAGGCTGGAAGGCTACAGTCCATGGGGTTGCAAAGAGTCAGACATGACTGAGCGACTGAACACATCACACCTCACTGTTAGTCGTAAGGACGGAACAAGGTGATGTGAAGTGCTTGGCATGTTACCTGGCACACACACCAGGAAGGTGCCTGCAAGGGAGGACTACTATTAATATTTAGGAAGGCAACTTCTCTAGTTGATAAAGCTGGCATGAGATCACTCCAATAGGGGTTCACATCAAGCACCCCCATGGTTGTAAAGCATCTGTTTTTGCCTCTGAGAAATGAAAGTAATAAAACTGACCCTGTGAGCTGCTGTGGCAGTCACACAAGAGTGACCGGCTCTCCGTGGGCTTGCGAGGAGAAGCACCTGGGTACTGCTCGCGTTGGTGTGCCCTTCGCGTGTTGTACACAGGTCTGTGGATCCCGAGTCCAGGAAAATGAGGAGAGAGGTGCAGTCTGTGAGAGTTCGCCTTCGCACCCTGGGAAGGTAGGATGTGATGTTATGGACTCTAGGGGGACTCACCCCTCTGAATCTTTACGAAGGCACTGGAGATTTTTAGGAATCAGCTGAATTAAATAATGCTGGGATAACTGAAGAATACCTTCTGCCTGCTCATTTGATGCTCATTTTGCATTATCCAAAGAGGTAAATGAAGGAATAGTTTTGGAAAAAGGATCCTTTTCCTTCCCTGCTTAACTGAAGCTTCTTTGATATTGTTAGCTTTTAATAATCCCCCCCCAACTTCTCCAGACTGTAACAGCCACTCAAAAAAGTTTATTCCATTCCTGGGTGTC